TTGGAGACTACTCCGTGCTCTGGTGCGTCTTGCCTAAAAAGATCTACCTCCTCTACTGGTCACATTTGGCGTTGCTGGTAGGATTCACCATTGAGCACGGACTTGTCTTTGTTTTTTTTTTGTTTTTTTTTGTGTGTTTAGGGTCTTAGCCGTGTTTTTATTCATGATGTTGTAAGACAAGACTGCAGTAGCTATCCAAGGAAAACTTAACTGTGGGTTCAGGATTTATTTTCACTGTTTGTTTTGTTTGTTTTTTTCTCTCTCGCGTTTCCTTTTGGTAGTCTTCCCCTGTAGGTATGGAGGAGGTGGCAGGCCGCCCGGTGGATGGAGTTGGTCCGCAGAATGTGACGGTTGGAGGTTCGCTGGGCGCTGCTCCTTCCCCAGCTGTGGCTGGTGGTGTCATGCCTGCTGGCGCTGTGGTTGCTGAGCGGTTGGTGGTTGTGCCCAGGGACCGGCGATGTCCCGTGTTCGGTGGTAGGACTGGCATTGGGATTGGTGAGTGGATCGAGGAGGCCCAATCATGTATTCGGGCCCGCCATTTGTCAACGGCAGACCAGGCTTTCTTCCTTTTTGATCATCTAGAGGGGGAAGCAAGGGAGGAAATAAAGTACCGCACCAGTGCAGAGAGGAATGATCCAGCTAAGATCTTGGCTATTTTGAGGGAGTTGTATGGTTGCACCGAGTCCTATGTAACTCTTCAGCATGCATTTTTTTCTAGGAAGCAGCAAGAGGAGGAAACACTGTTGCAGTTTTCCCTAGCATTGATGGCCCTTATGGAACCAGTTAAGCAGAATGCTCCTGATGGGTTGTTGAATGCTGATATTCTGCTGCGTGACCAGTTTGTAGAACATGTGTTGGATAGTGCTCTCCGCCGGGAACTTAAGCAGTATGTTCGGGGTCATCCCACTGCCACCTTGTTGGATGTGCGTGGGGAGGCAATTCGGTGGGAGAGGCAAGGGTTTCCAGGTGGCGCTAGGGAGCGTAGTCATTCTCTCCCTTCTACTTATGGGCTGCAGTACAGGGTGTATGGCAGTTCTCGGCTAACTCCACCTACTGCTGCCTGTTCTGAGTTTAGTGAGTTAAGGGAACTTCTAAAACAGCAACAAGAACAGATTAACCAACTCACCCAGTGTATTGCTTCTCTGCAGACCTCTTTACCACAGGTGCGGCATCCTCGTCCAGGTTCTGTGGTCTGCCACAGGTGCCAACAGCCGGGTCACTTTGCCAGAGAGTGTGATGGTGAGCGGGTTCGTGCCCAGGTTAACTCTGTGGCAAGGCCAGCTAATGTTAACCAGGCGGAAAACTAGCACCCACTGAGCTGTTGAGCCACAACTCAGGTGGGGGAATAGCAGGCTCGCAAACAGCAGCCGCGTCAAAATTGTTGGCATCCTGCCCAGTCATTGATGTCGTCATGAGTGGTGTCTCTGTTACTTGTTTAGTAGATACAGGTTCCATGGTGTCGACAATCACCGAGAGCTGTTTTCAGGAACATTTTGCATCATTGGGGCATGATGGCCTTCAGTCATGTCACTGGCTGCAGCTTCGGGCAGCCAATGGTCTTTCCATCCCATACATTGGCTATTTAGAGTTGGATGTCACTCTGTGTAACAAAGTGCTTCCTCATTGTGGAATTCTGGTTGTGAAGGACCCCACTAATGTTGGTTCTTCTGTTCCTGGCATTTTGGGAATGAACATAATTAATCGTGTCTACCAAGAACTTTTTGGGGCACACGGAGGCTCTTTCTTTGATTTACCTTCAGTAACACAGTCTCCTGGTCCAGTTGTGGAGGCCCTGCAGCAGTGTCATCAAGCAGCAGCTAAGTCCCCAACACAGTTGACTGGTGCTGTTAGGGTCCGGGGCCCTCGACCAGTGAGGATAACTGGTGGGGTTATGAAATTTGTAGCTGCAACCTGCCCTGAACAACTTGCTGGTCAGGTTTTATTGTTTGAGCCTCCAGAGTCCGGCTTACCAGCTGGCTTATTAGCCTCTCCATGTCTCATTCAGGCTGTGCACGGGTACTGCTTATGTTCCTGTCCTAAATTTTGGAACTACAGATGTTGTACTCTATCCCCGAACTCACCTTGGTTTGTTGAGTCGAACCGAAGTGGTTAGCCTGCCCCGTGATGTGACAGAAATAAGACCCTGTGCTACAGTTTCTTCTCATGTTGCTCTTGGTCCAGAACAGAGTTTGCTTGATTCTGTTGATTTGTCTGTACTGACAGAAACTGAACAAAGGCAGGTCCAGTCACTTCTACAGAAGTACAGCTCTGTCTTTTCAGCTCATGAAGGTGACTTGGGGTGCACTAATCTGGTGTCCCATGACATTCCCCTGTTGGATGAGGTCCCGGTCCGGCAGAGGTACCGACGTATCCCTCCCTCAGAGTACGAGGCTGCCAAGTCACACATTAATCAGCTCCTACAGAACCAGGTAATAAGGGAAAGCAGCAGTCCTTATGCCTCTCCCATCGTTCTTGTTAGGAAGAAAGATGGCAGCCTGCGTATGTGTGTGGATTACCGTCAGCTTAACAGCAAGACGAGAAAAGATGCTTTCCCATTGCCTCGCATTGAGGAAAGCCTGGACCATCTTTCTGGGGCCCAGTGGTTTTCCACCCTAGATCTAGCCAGTGGGTACAATCAGGTTCCTGTGTCAGAACAGGATAAGTCAAAAACTGCTTTTTGTACGCCATTTGGACTCTTCGAGTGGAACCGTATGCCCTTCGGGCTTTGTAATGCACCTAGTACCTTTCAGCGTCTAATGCAGAGGATGTTTGGGGACCAGCAGTGCCAGTCTCTTCTTTTGTATTTGGATGACATCATTGTGTTTTCAGGTTCAGTCTCCCAGCACATTGAGCGCCTGGAAACCGTTCTTGCTCGGCTCCAGAGAGAAGGTCTGAAGGTAAAGCTTGACAAGTGTTCATTTTTCAAGCGACAGGTTAAATACTTGGGACACCTTATCTCAGATAAAGGTGTAGCTACAGACCCAGCCAAGACTGAAGCTGTGGCTAAATGGCCACGTCCCACACATGTTTCAGAGCTTCGCTCCTTTTTGGGCTTTGCAAGTTATTACAGGCGCTTTGTGGAGGGTTTTGCTAGGCTAGCGGGTCCGCTTCATAGGCTGGTGGCACAACAAGTGGGCACAAAGCCCAGGAAGGGGTCTGGCCAGGCTTTTCAATCTGCTTGGACATCAGAGTGTGAGGAGAGCTTTGAGGCCTTAAAAGTTAAATTAACATCTGCACCAGTGTTGGCATATGCTGATTTTTCACGTCCCTTCATTCTAGAGACTGATGCCAGTCACAGTGGACTTGGGGCAGTACTGTCACAGGAAACAGAGGATGGAGTGAGGCCCATTGCATATGCCAGTCGAGGTCTTAAACCTTCGGAGCGTAACATGGCCAATTATAGCTCTATGAAGTTGGAGTTTCTGGCATTAAAATGGGCCATGACTGAGAAGTTCCGGGAGTATCTCTTGGGCCACCGGTGTATAGTTTACACAGATAACAACCCGTTGAGTTATCTTCAGTCGGCCAAGCTTGGTGCCATGGAGCACCGTTGGGTTGCGCAACTTGCTGCTTTTGATTTCGATATTAAGTATCGTTCTGGACGCAGCAATACTAATGCTGATGCGCTTTCCCGCCAGCCAACATCAGGAGCCAGCCTGGCAGAACTCTTGTCATGTACCTCTGTTCCAGAGGCTCTTCAGTGTGCCCCAATTCCTGCTCCATTGTCGGTAACCCAATCTATGGTGACCGTTTTGCCGTCTCATTCTGTGTCTGATCTTTGTGCTTTGCAGGAAGCTGATCCTCTCCTGAAGGACATTTTGGGTTTTTGGAGGAGGCAGGTTTATCCTACTCCTGAGGAGAGGCAGCGCTTTCCCAAATTATCCTTGGTTCTTTTGAGACAGTGGGGTCGTCTCGTGGAGAGAGATGGTGTGGTGTACCGTCGGGTCCATCGGTCAGATGGTGGTGAGGAGGTCTTACAGCTGGTTTTGCCGTCAGTTCTTAAACCGGATGTTCTGACTCAATTACATCAAGAGCATGGACACCAGGGTGTGGAGCGCACCACAGAGTTGGTACGGCAGCGCTGTTACTGGCCGGGGATGTCTAATGACATCAAACAGTGGGTACAAGAGTGTCAACGGTGCCAGGTTGCTAAAAATGTACCATCTAGCTCTGGCACTTTCATGAGTCATCTGTTGGCTTCTCAGCCAAACGAGATTTTTGCCATGGATTTTACCATGTTGGAGCCTTCACAAAATGGCCTGGAAAATGTTCTTGTAGTTACTGATGTATTTAGTAAGTACACCATTGCTGTTCCAACTCGGGATCAGAAGGCAGCCACTGTTGCCCAGATTTTGCTCACTGAATGGTTCTTTAGATTTGGGATTCCAAGTCGCATTCATTCAGATCAGGGTCGGAGTTTTGAGAGTGCGTTAATTCAGCAGCTCTGTAACCTGTATGGGGTTAAAAAGTCGCGCACTACCCCTTACCACCCTGCTGGAAACGGGCAGTGTGAGCGCTTTAATCGAACACTTCATAATCTGCTGCGCACTTTACCAACATCTAGGAAGCGGGATTGGGCTTCCTGTCTTCCACAAGTACTCTTCTGTTATAACACTACCCCTCATCAGAGCACTGGCGAGTCTCCGTTTTTTCTTATGTTTGGCCGTAAACCTCAACTGCCTGTGGATTTCTTGTTGGGTCGCATTCGGGACCCTGCACCAGGTGAAGTGGTGGACTGGCTGGCTGAGCATCAGACCAGGTTAACTATGGCGTTCCGTCATGCTCAGGATCACTTGTTGGCAGCTGCAGGGCGTAGAAAAGAGCATCATGATCAGGGCATCCGGGAGGTTCCATTGCAGGAGGGACAGTTGGTTTACCTGCGCGATCATGGTGCTAGAGGTCGCCATAAAATCCAGGACATCTTTAGCCCGGTTATCTATCAGGTCGTGAGAACTCCAACAGCTGGAGGGCCGGTTTATACTGTGGCGCCGGTGGGTGATTTGCAGAGAACTCGAAAGGTGCATCGTGACATGCTGAAAGCTCGGGTTGGGCCAGAGCCTACGCCAGTACCCCTGCAGTTAAAACCTACCTTTCCTTCAGGGGGACTGGATGACTCTTTGGAGGATGATTTGTGCTTATTGGTCCCCGATACTTCAGTACCATCCACCTCTGCAGCTCCACAGGTCGCTTCAGGACATGGTCACCCTGCTCAAACTTCTGGGACAGCTCCTCTACCCTTGCGTCGCACTGTTCGTTTTGGGGCTGGTCAGCACTCGAATGTCCATCACCTTCCTCGACCTGTGGGTCATACTGCAGGATCTAGTCAGCCAGTCTCCAACTCCCAGTTAGCAGTTTTTCGTCCTTGGTGCTGAGGTTTGTAGATTCATCGTCGGGGCGACGATGCAACACAGGGGGGTAGAATGTGGTGGGATGGTGTTCCACCCTCCCAACTACACACACCAGGTGTAGTGACTGATTGGGGGGCGGGGCAGATAGCTTTAAAGCTGAGCAGTCCGCTGCGAGGTGCGTGTGCTTTGTTTCCTTACCGTGTGTCGGCTGCCCAAGTGGCTGGTGTGCTCGATCCACTCATCCAAAATAGTAAGTGCCATTTTGCCATCTGGGCTGGGGATTGTTGTCGGGTTCTGGTGCAATACCTGCCGTGCATTTCTGCAGCGTTGCGCGGCTGGCGTTGGCGGCTGCAGTTGGAGGTTGGTGCGGCGAGCGGCTTCCGTCCGGCCCTCGCCTGCTGATCCGCTCCCTCCCTGGTCGGCTGTGTCACCACATCTGGGTAAGCTACCGGTTTAGAATTTAATTTACTCTTACCTGAATCCACCGTTAACGAGTTTTCTAATTTAGGATTCTTCCGGAGTTGCAGCGCTTGGACGCTCCTGCTGTCTTGTCTGTCTTGCCGGTTTTGTTTGGGCCGCTCTCGGCGGAGCCTGCTGACGCTTGGGCTGGTGGAACGAGCGGGGCACGGCTCCTCTGGCCCCGTGAAAAGACATTAGAAGTCGGACAACGACAGTTTGTCCCATCGTTTGCAGTGGTTGTGTTCTTTTCTTTGCCGTTTGTTTGCTTATTATTTAAATTACTAATTTGTTTGCTTTCCTTTGTGTTGATTTACTAATTTGTTTTCTTTTGCATTGCATGATTTGTTCGTTCATTCATTTTTTTTGGGAATAATTTAAATTGTCCTCATTTTTGATGCCTTTTCCTTCTAGGGGCTGAGTAGTGGGCCCGAGGCCATGTTTTAAAAGGAAAATGTTTTAATGAAATTTGTTAATAAATCATTGGAGACTACTCCGTGCTCTGGTGCGTCTTGCCTAAAAAGATCTACCTCCTCTACTGGTCACATGTAGGATAACATAAATACACACCACATGAATGAATAAATATATGAATGAATAAATATATGAATGAATAAATAAATATATATATATATATGAATAAATATATATATGTAAATATATATATATGCCAACCAATCACGAGCGACTTTACTTGTTCAAAAAGAAGCGGTTCCGTCCAATACTCAGTAAGAAAATTAAAGCCTGGCGTGGCCACGTGTGGTTTTGCTGCCAATCACGAGCGATTTCATTTGTTTGAGAATAGTGGTTTCAGCCAATACTGAGTAGGTTATTCAAGCCAGACCTGGCCAGCCGCGCGGGTTTGCTGCATTCATATGCTAATTAGGGCCATTAGTACAGCTGATCGCTCTCCACATACGTCACGGTACGTTTCCGACAATTTGTGGCACGACAAACGCGGGTTGCAAATTGTCGGAAACTGACGAAAATCAGGCAGATCTGCGGGAGTTTACGGGGGTTTACGGGGACGAAAATCTCACTTTTCATGCAGTGGCGGTTAGAGCGTAAAGATGGAAACGCGAAAACGGCATTTCAAAATCTTCCCACTATCAAGGCTGAATAAAAAAAGATCGTTTACAGACCCCCGAAACGCCGGCTTCGTGTGGATGAGAGGCTGGTTTGGTGAAAAATTTGTGCGTTTAGGCCAGGGTTCGTCTTCGTGTGGACGGGGCCTTATACTTAAAGGTATTGTGGAGGATTTTAGTGAATTTTTTAAAAGACCGGCCCTCTCCACTTTAAAAAAAATGCACATGCACAACCCTGTACCTGCTCCTGAGAGGGAATGCGTATTGAACGAGTGAGAGAGCATGCACAAGCCCATTTCTCCTCGTGCACGCTCCGTTTAAAAGTTGTTGTTCTCATAGCTCAAGCCCCAGCATCTGCCCTAAATCCCTCAATCAGTATATAGAGCGGGGACTATATAATGGACTTTATTGCAAACTCAGTTAACTGACTGTTTGGACAGATGATCACTTCTTTTTGCTCCGCTGGTCATGTAACTGCCTGGTGCCTGCACCATCTTTGTTATTAATCGCCGCTGTGGGGTAGCGACAAGCTATGGTGACAGCAGGCCGCTGTGACAGCAAATCACATAATGCTTTGCTAGGAGAGCTCTCTGTGAAAGGTTTTCTGGTATATGTCTATCTCTTCTGAGGCCTTTGTTTTATTCTCATACACTTCCTTGACACTTTTTCTGTTACGACCCTCTGCCATTTTCTGAGAACCATGAGAAATGTGAGCTTCCAAGACTGTCTGAAATCATAGCTCACCACAGATATACGCCTGAAAGTGCACAGGTGCAGAAAAAGATTGCTAACGGGACGAGCACGTAGGACAGCCTTATGTAAAGATATTAACAGAATGATTGACAATTATTTAGATGATTCACCTGGAAATAAAAGATTGTCCTCTATAAATTTAACTTTTATACAGTGATTCTAGAGGAATAAACTCTTTAGGGAAGCAAGAGAGAGAATAAGAGGAAGTCATCTTTTTGTGATGCCCATGTTTGGTCTTTATGTGCTGTTACTCACAGTTTCCCCCTTTTCTGTGCAGCTTGGAAAACTGTTTTAAGCTGCAGGCACTGAACACTTTTAACTGGAATGACCATTGATGCAAAACCATGAACCAATACCTTTGGCAGCATGGTAAGGCTGCTGCAGGGAGATGGTTAATTAAACTTCAAAAGGAGGTAACAGTCCTCTTAATGACCCCCAGTGATTCACAGTTAAACCTTCTGTTTTAATGAATTTTCATACATTTGTATGTCAATCTATCAATTTAAAGCTTTTCTACAGCTATATGACAGCAAAAACTTTAAACAATTTCTTTTTGTAATAAAAAAAAAAATTCATATTTCCTGAATAAATTGAGAAAAATAAGTTCATAAAATAGAAAATTTCTGGACCCTGTTGAATTAACTACACAGACATTTTGAAGGCAAAGGGGAATAAACCTGATCCTACCATAATAGAAACTTGCTATTGTGTCCCGCAGCAGCTGGATGGAGGCCAAAACCAAGCCATCTTTTAGCAGTGAAACTAAGCTGTTAGCCGAAATGTCCAATATGATGCCAGACAGTTACAACTTCTTTTATATGAATAACTTTGATTGGACACCTCAAAATACAAATCATTAAATAACAAAACTATTTTCATGGTATAACATGTTTTACTTTAGCTGGTTGGCTGTTTTTCCTCAGTCCCAGACTGCCCTTTTAAATTGCTGCTGTCGTCCAGTCAGCCTGTTCTGGTCCTCCGTGTCTAGGCAATTAGCAGTACCTTGTGTCACTGGTAATCACTAGGGGGGTTGAGAGTAAAATGTTAATCTTCTGTGTCCAAAAAAACAACAACAAAAAAACTACCAGCTAAATCCTCAGTGTGATAGCGTCTACACATTCAAACCTGCTTTTCAGTACCAATCAATTGCGCTCAGTGCTTACTATCAAGAAGCCGCTAGCGATCGATATACTTCGTCTTCACAAAGACTCACACTGTTTGGACACACATACCACTTACATTGATCGAGAAGAATGAGATGGTGGCAGATGTTTAGTTTTCCCCACTTAAGCCTGTCTCTGCTAAGTTCTGATGTGTCATCTGGTATCGATTCCTTAAAGCTGAATGTGGTCAGTGTTGTTAAGACACCAGTATTTGCAAATGGCTTTTTGGAGACCCCGCAATGTCTCACTCCTTTGTCCTTATGCGGCACAAGATTAGTACATTGTGGAACAAAGATTGCTCTGGGGCTGCATTTTGCTATTGGGGTTGACTGTTTCAGCAGAGCTTTTTATTAATTACACTAAACCCAAGAGACTATTTTTCCTTAGTCAAAGATTTTTGCAGCTATTTTCTTAAACTCAAAGCATAAATTAAAGCAAACTAGAAAAAAACACCCTACAATTTCAAAGCTCTACTTTGTTAATTGGTTCTGAAATGATAAGCGGATGTCTTGCCTGAGGCAAACTCTGAACAATGTTCCTCTAGTGGAAGTATCTGTGCTTGGCATGCTTTGTTTTTGTCCTATTTTATGCATGACATGAATTTAACACTTCATGTCTCATTAACACATTAACAACTTCTTCTCTGTTATCTTTGACTGGAATGTCAAAACTTAGGAAGTGGCACAGACTTTAGATTCAAACACATTAGTTATTTTACATGCTTTTGTCAGATTTTTATCAAAGCATTTTAAGATAAAGAGCACATTGCATAGTTGGAGGATTCAGGGTGACCTGAATGCATCCTAACTGGTTGGTTAAATTTCTGTTAATGTATGAACTCATTGATTAATTTTGAGTGGATATGTGACCTGCAGATCTTTTTGATAAAACTTTTACATCTAAAAAAAAATTGGTCAAAGATTCTTTCATCAATTAGAAAAGCAGCTGTTTAGTTTATTTCTGCTCTTTCATTATGGGTAGCTTCTCTTCTTTTCTTAAATCTTCTCCATTGTCTTTTACTATGCCCCATTGTTGCTTTATTCTTGACATTTTTAGATGCGTTCTGGCTCCAACAAGCTGGAAGCAAATGGCTGAAATGCCTGCTCAGCAATCATCAAGCTCTGAAGCAGCTTGTTAAAGACCTTTGGTAGAGTCCTAACAAACATAAATTTTTTGAAGGGTTGAAGAGTATAACAATATGTTTTCAGCTTTTTTAGCCTATAACCCATGCTATCAGGTAGGGTCAACATAAGTACCGTATTTTCACGACTATAAGGCGCACTTAAACGTCTTTTTTTCCCTCAAAATGTGCGGTGCGCCCTATGGTGCGGTGCGCCTTATGTGTGTTGTAACTGCGACTTTTGAGACCACCTCATTGAGGAGATGATGAAAGAGTGGCTGAATGTAAGGAGACCAGGTGTTTTTTTTTTCCACTCATCACCATCGCTGTTAATATGTAACTCCATGCGTGCCCATCTCACAGCTGATGTGAAAAACATGGGGAAACAAATTAAGGCTGTGCTCGCTGTTCAACCGCTCGACATCGGTGTGAACCGGACCCAGCAGGTGCAGCAGAAGCAGCGAGTTTACATGCAAAGTCAATGGTTGACGCGCGTATAGGCGCAGCAAAAGGTCCCGCAGCGCATTTTGAGCTGCAGGTGCAGCACGTCGGGAGCGTTTAAGCATCTGACGCACCACCAACGCGCTGCTGCTGCTCGAGATGGAAAAATTGAAGTTTTGCTGCTGGACGCGCCGCATCAACCAATCAGAGAAGCTGATCTGGGAGCTGACAGCGAGACAGACACATCGCTCTGATGACATATGATATTAACGCAAATGAAACGGGCTGGATGGATGAGAAGATGATGAAAGGCAGGTGTATGTGAGGAGACCAGGTGCTTTTTTCCACGCATCACCATCGCTGCGTGCCCATCTCACAGCCGATGTGGAAAAAAAGGTGAATCAAATAAACGCTGTGCTCGCCGTTATCCCGGGGGTCTGACAAAGGAACTTCAACCGCTCGACATCGGTGTGAAGCGGCCGTTCAAAGTAAGGCTGCGAGCGGCGTGGGAGCGGTGGATGACAGACGGAGACCACAGTTTCAGGATAAGTGGAAGGCAGCGCCGGGCAAGTTACGCCACCGTTTGCGG